CAGATTAAAGCCAATGCTGTCTGTTTACATCCTGTGTATAAGTGTTCTAAGTTGCCATTTCTGATTGTTCCCTTCTTAGCTCTGAGATTGCAGTTTCCTGTTTGGTGTTGCTGCAGACATCTCCAGTCATTGTGAGACCATCCCCTCCTGGGAGTGAGCAGGTACCAAGTCACATGCATTTGTCTGTGGTTTCTGTTTTTACTGTCCAGTACACAATTCACCTTTCACCAGGGCTGAGAATAAGGTTTGCTGAACTTATTGCTTTTTCCCAATTACAAAAGATTTATCAAAGAGAAATGTTTTTATATATTTGGTCGCTTGAAAATACAGATTTAACAGGAAGAATTTAACATGGTTTCCAGTCTTCTCTATGATTGTACCAGCCTCTAATAAAATGGGGGAATTTTACCACTGAAATACCTTTTATGCATTGCTTCTTCTGTCCATTAAGGTTAAATAAAATATGTAAGGTAAAGTTTTAACACAATATTGTTTAGGTTTGCTGTCATTGTTTCTAGATTCTGCTTCTGTCTCCCTGCTTAGTTTTCTTCATGGTGAATCGTTGTTTGTTTTTGCTTCCCTCAATTTTTATCAAACATGACTTATTTATCCAGAACCTCTAACCTCTGCCTCCCTGATTATTGTGTCTGACTTTAGTGTTCTATATAAACAGTAAGTTATATTCTCTGACACTCAGTCTTTGTGAAGCTAAGTACAATACTGCAATATCTGGGGAAAATAATATAATGTAAAATTATTATTAAGGATTTTATTGTGATCAATATGTTAATAATATCAAATTGGATAAAGCCACATCATTGTCATTTATCTTTCTGTTTCATTATTACAGTTCATGATCCTTCCTTTTTATTTATTTACATTTGTTCCTCACTGTTGATTGCATGAACATACTGTATGTTGACCATTTCCAATGATATGTTAGAAGTGGTCTTTCTACCTAAGTCTTGATGCCAAATGCATACGGTTTATTCTATCACCTTTCTAAGTGTATTTTCATTCCAGTTGCCCATATGTACTGTGTTTGTCTGTTTTATATCTTCTCTTAAGGACGCCAAAGACTGCAGTGTGTCACAGAGCCTGGATGAAGACAGTCCCAGGGCTGTTGAAGCTCGTGAGAGAACAGGAGCTTTGCTTTGGCTGCGCTGCCGGCTGGCTCTGATCCACAGCCTGACTGCTAGCCTCCCTAGCATGGCAACTCTTTTTCCAGGTCTTACAAGTTTGTTGGCTTCTTTTCCCAATATTCCAGGACTCCATATTTACTAATCATATATATTAACATTGTCAGGCTGACTAGCAAACAGAAATATTAATCCTGCTTGTTTTAAAAAAGTATCCCTTCGAGAAGATTTTTATGTTACTACACTGTAATGAGACACAGTCATCAGTATAATAGCAGCCTGTGAATTAGGGGATTATTTGATGGCAAGCATTAATTTTTTTTATTTAACTTTTTAAGGTAAGAACATTAATAAGGACATAGCTGTACTGATACAGGAGGGAATGGATGAATGTGTTCAATGGGGAGACCGAGATATCCAAGCCCTGTTGATGGTGCAAGCTGCAGAATTGGAAGCACAGATAGGAAGGACAGATGAGAGCATGGCGACGTTGCAGGTACAAACACAAGAATGAGCACCCCCTTTTTTAGTGATTTTTATTCATTCACATGTTGCATTTAAAATTTTAGACATGAGATGAATAATATAGCAGCATTTTAGGTGGATAGATACCATTTTTTTTTTATTATTTGCAAATGTATTGCAGTCATTGAGGTAAATTGCAGAAAGGACCCCAGTAAGAGTCACTCTCAAACTTGTGGCAGCTAAAGGGGATCCATATTATAAATAAATAGTATATTTCTTTGTAACTGTTGATGATTTTATACTATTCCTTTTAACCAATTTCCATTATTGATGACCAAATTATTAGAAT